GGTCAGGATGATCTAGACCATCTGGCTCACCACGGTGAAACCCCATCTCTACTATAAAAATACGAAAAAAACCTAGCCGGCGAGGTGAGGCGGGCGCCTAAAAAAAAAAAAAAAAAAAATCTGCATCATGAAATAAAATTTAAATCTCCAGAAAAACAGTGAGAATGATTGGATCTCAGGAATCATTTTCTTCTTAGTTTGCAGACCAACACATCTGGTCAGAAGACGCAGCCCTGATGTTCAGGAGCTCAGGGATTCTGGAAATACTGACCCCACTGCGTGACGCAGCTTTTGCAGCTTTTGATTTCCAGAAGTGCCTCGTGAATATCCAGGCAATTCTCATGGACCCTGAACTTCACGTTGGAAGATGCAATGTATGTGATCCTAACTGTTTAGATCAATGTTCGATGCACTTTTTTTTTTTTTTTTTTCTTTTTTGAAACCGAGTCTCGCTCTGTCGCCCAGGCTGGAGTGCAGTGGCCGGATCTCAGCTCACTGCAAGCTCCGCCTCCCGGGTTTACGCCATTCTCCTGCCTCAGCCTCCCGAGTAGCTGGGACCACAGACGCCCGCCACCTCGCCCGGCTAGTTTTTTGTATTTTTTAGTAGAGACAGGGTTTCACTGTGTTAGCCAGGATTGTCTTGATCTCCTGACCTCGTGATCCGCCAGTCTCGGCCTCCCAAAGTGCTGGGATTACAGGCTTGAGATGCACTTTTTAAAAAAGACAAATTCAACCTGGGCATAGTGGTGCATGCCTGTAGCCCCAGTTGCTCAGGAGGCTGAGGCTGGAGGGTTGCTTGAGGCCAGGAGTTCAAGACCAGCCTGGGCAACATAGACCCATTTCTAAAACAAAAAAAAGTTTTTTTAAGTTGGGCATTGGTCAGGTATGGTGGGAGACTTTGGAGACTGAGTCTTTGGGAGGCTGAGGCGGGCGGATCATTTGAGGTCAGGAGTTCCAGACCAGCCTGGCCAACATGGTGACACCCCATCTCTACTAAAAATACAAAAATTAGCTGAGTGTGGTGGCGGGTGCCTGTCACTCCACCTACTCAGCATGCTGAGGCATGAGAATCTCATTAACCTTGGAGGCAGAGGTTGCAATGAGCCGAGACCACACCACTGCACTCTAGCCTGGGTGACAGAGCAAGACTTCGTCTCAAAAAAAAAAAAAAAAAAAAAAGTTGGGCATGGTAGTGTGTACTCTCAGCTACTTGGGAGGCTGAGGTGTGAGGATCACTTGAGCCCAGGAATTAGAGGCTGCAGTGAGCTATGATGGAGTCTTGCTTCTTTTGCTTTCCTTTTTCCTTTTTCTTTTTTTTTTTTTTTTTTTTTTGAGACGGAGTCTCGCTCTGTCACCCCCCGGCTGGAGTGCAGTGGCCGGATCTCAGCTCACTGCAAGCTCCGCCTCCCGCGGTTCACGCCATTCTCCTGCCTCAGCCTCCGAGTAGCTGGGACTACAGGCGCCCCCCCTCGCCCGGCTAAGTTTTTTCGTATTTTTTAGTAGAGACGGGGTTTCACCGTGTCAGCCAGGATGGTCTCGATCTCCTGACCTCGTGGATCCGCCCGTCTCGGCTCCCAAAGTGCTGGATTACAGGCTTTGAGCCACCGCGCCGGCCTTTTTTTTTTTTTTCTTTTTTTTTTTTGAGATAGGCTCTTGCTCTGTCGCCTAGGGCTGCAGTGCAGGCGTTTGATCATGGCTCACTGCAGCCCTGACTCCCAGGATCAAGCAATCCTCTTCCCTCAGCCTCCTGAGTACCTGGGATGACAGGGTGTGTGCCACCATGCCTGGCCTATTTTAATTTTTTTTTTTTGGTAGAGGCAAGGTCTTACTATGTTGCCAGGCTGGTCCCAAACTCCTGGGCACAAGCAATCCTCTTCGTCTCGGCCTCCCAAAGTGCCTTGGGGTTTTAAGCGTGAGCCACCGTGCCCGTTTTTCTTTCTGTTTTCTTTAGAGTAGAGCCGCCCCAGTATCGCATCTCCAGACCAT